GTAGCGGAGATGTCCCTTCAAACGTCGTTTCCGTGACAAATGTTATGAAATGAACGCTTCCTTAAAAGGAAATTCGTGCAGGCAGTTTATTTTTAAACGGAAAACCTCTCTGATTGTGAATTAGCGATAAAAAATTATACTTCACAGCTCACACAACGGCATGGTTGCACTGCAGGTAAAAGGGCTTGTATTCGGGTCAGAATGGAACGACAAAAACCATCTGGGATCCATTCAGAAGTTGTAAGCGTACGGATAAGGGTACGGAAAGCGAAAGGTGGAGAGGCCAAATTAGAAATAATCGCGGGAATCTATAGGTATAAAAGCTCTCTCAGCCTCCCTCGGACTCTTAGCGGATCAATTCACGACATCACGAGGGTTTTTCGGAGAAGCTCTCGTGTCCGATTATTGTAATACCCATCGGAGATTATTTCGGCAGGTAGGGAAAAAAGGATGTTTGTGCCGAGAGCTGTGTACGCTCATCCGTCCGCACGTTTCGTTCACCGCGCGCACACGGAACGCACCTGCGCCGGAATTGTCGCGTCAGACTTTTCTAGCGATTATGCATCGCGCGGCGATCGGCTAATTGCACAGCCCGACTGAGATATTTAATCATCATGACACGTAGTTTTTTTCCCCCTTTTTCTCAGGTCGCGCATCAGCGGCAACAGATTATTATTTATTACGTCGTAAAGTATATATCGTTGAGCAAAGGAACGGAACAACACACGGAGCAAAAAGGCACGGGATGGATCGCACGTCATATCGAGCGTGTTGATCACGACGCGAGAGCAACGGGGAAGGGAGGGAAAGAGAGAAGAGAGGGAGAAGGGTATCTCACTCGACCCGTCATCGATTGCGTGTATCACGCGAAACCCGCTTCCTATAATACGCCGGTCGTCGCGCATTAACGTGTAATTGTATCTAAAAGTAAATACAGACGTCTCGCGATAAAATCGGTAAACGCCTCGCGCGTTACGCGTTAGCCTCGGCAGATGCGCGGCCGTTGCGCGATAAAACCGCCAAGCGGGAAAGAGAAAGCGTATAGGTAAGGAAAGTGGAAATTAAAACCGTCGCTGCTCGCCGCGCACGGCTCGCGCTCACACATTCACACGTATATATATATATAATATATATATATATGTATGTATATATATATTTTATATATACACACACACACATTCACACGTACGCGCGCACGCACATGTGAGGACACAACGCGCGGCGCGCATACATATATACATACGTATATCCCGCCGCGGAGTTCCCTCATCCATTCGGCGGCGCGGCACCGTGTAATTACGTCGGGCGAGAGCACGAGATCGCGATCCGGCTCGGCCAGGAAATGTATAATGGGAGTATAATGCGTGAAATTTACTGGCCGCATCGGCATAATGGACGACGTGACGCTCAAGATATCACCGTGATTCCATATTTCCGAGCGATGCGCGCGCGGCGCGGCGAAGCGTAACGGCCGCGATTCACCCGCGTGTACATACGCGCGTCGGTTTAGGATCTCGGATTTTAATACGAGCAATTACCAGAACGGGACGGGACAGGCCAGACCGAATCGCGGCCCAGGCCCGAGGCCCCCTCTCTCCCTTCCCCGCCCTGCCCTACTGCCAGCTCCGCTTCGAATATCCGCATCGCATCGCGCATTTATCGCGCGCGGGCCTCGACCTGTAATTTCGCCGAGTCGAATTTCAACGTTGCGTTGTATCACCGGATATCGCCGATATAGCGCGCGGCAACGCGAGGATTCAGATTCAATTAACCCTCCCCCGTCGCGGTATCTGCCGTGGTATCTGGTATTTATTCGGCAAAAAAATCTGAATTTTCCACATTCGTGGGATGTGCTTTTAAAATCGCGTGACCGTCTCTGCGACACCCTGGAAATCTCCGAGTATCTGATCAAACAACGAGTAGCGTAATCGTTAGAGCTTCCCGTGCTACGCGCAATCTCTTCTATGGAAATCAGTAGGTCTTGCGCGATCGAAAATTAACATATTACTAATTAAGCAGTCTCGACGCGTCGCGCCTCGCGACGAGGCGAGATTAAAAATGAAGAGGACGAGAAAACGAAGGGAAGGAGCCTCTGTCCCCCCCTCCCCCCGCCTTCCTCCTCCCTTCGCGCGACCGCGCGGTTGCGCGCCGCCGCGTTTTTTCAGCTGTGCACATTCGGACGCGTTTGAACAGCGTGTCGGCGCAAACAGACTGATTAAAAGTATCAATATTTACCGAATTGGGGGGTCCTGCGCAAACGTGCGCCGTGCAGTTTACAGGAGGTAGTAAACCCGGCGGCGAGGTCCGGTCTCTCTCTCTAATGCGCGCGTCGTGTGTACGGATGTGTACGTAAACGACGCCCGTCTGCCCGTTGACGTTTCGCAACGTGTACCCTACTAACTAACGTCAGCACTTCGCACCACCGTCCCCGTCCGTCGTTTCCCGCGGAGTTACGGATCACCGGCTCTCGTCGCCCCCTTCGTCCCTCGTATACTCGCCGGCCCCCATGACGTTCGACTAAGTAGGGTGGTCGTACGGGCGAAAAATATTTCAGGGATGGATACGGACTCTCGAGGTGCGAAGATGCTTATTAAATGGAGAAGGTTCATAGAGTTCAGGCACTGAGTACGAATATTCGTATAATATTCGATACAAAATGAGCCGAAATTTGGGTGGGCAATATTCAAATACTCTCGCTAACGATAAGTAAGAAAATCGACACCGATGTCTTAATTACTGATGAGGCAATTTAAAAGACAAAAGATGATAAATTTAGTTCAAAGAAGAATGTCAATGTGTACATTTTTCAGATGTGTCTCAAGTGGATTGATGTGGCATATACATACAATAGAATTTAGCTCGACCTTTTCAGGAAATTTTTCAAGAGCAGAGTGGAAAAGTTTCCATTCTGCTTGACCAATTGTCCGGTGTACCACCTATTACTGTTATTGTTATTAGGGTCCGGGTCTTTTCCTCTCTGGGACTCTCATTACGCCGGTCGTTAGGCCCCTTTTCTCGGACTACCGACACCGGCACAAAGTGACGTTTGATTCTTGCCTCGCGCGTCACAGCGATTGTCACACTCCGGCAATGGCCGGTATAAATGGCGTATACAATATCGTTTTCTATGAGTCACGTTTTCGAGAGCCACGTTTGACTAACCGACTCGATTAGCGGGTCGCGAAAAAATTGTTTGTCCGCGGCATTTATTACGCCGGTCGGGTGCTGGCGCGCTTTTTCAGCGCGCGAGAGCCGCGTAGCGCGGCGAGGCCGAAAGAAAAGGCGTTAATATCCCCTGTGTAATGGTCGGGAGGGACGTTATATACCGTTCGAGCGAGAAAGAAAACCGAGAAACGGCGTGAACGTGACGGGACTACGCAACGACGCGCTACTCCGGACGAGAGCCCCGGTGAAGTCGCGGTGGACGGGTGCGAGTCGTGCGGCGCGACGGCTAAGTCGCCATTATCTCCGACCGGGCCATTAAATGCAGGCAGCGAGGCCGAGAGCGCGCCGCGCGCGGCACGGACAGCTCCGCTCGCTCGCACGGACTCACGGATCAACGACTCCGACCGTGGCGTGGCGAAACGATTTTCGCACGGCCGCGAGGCCAAAGTCGTTGCGACAGCGAATGCGATTGTTCCGCGTTCGTATCGCCGAATTTTCGGAGAGCGCGCGGCGGAGAAGCCACGTGCACCGCTGCACGTGCGCGTGTCGTATATTAAACAAATTCAATTGATCGTTACTTATATACGTGTGCGGTTACAGTTCGAGCATCCGAGATGAGAGACGTAATCTCGCGTGACGTGTTGTCACACGTGCGCCCTACGACGCCACGTGGTCGCCGCTCAAAACGGCGCCCGTGACGATCGTGATTTTCCGCGGCGTAACGATCGGCGCGATTCCTGAACGCGTTAATAAAAGTTTTCACGGGCAACCGAAACCCGATGCCGAGCGCGGAATGTCGAGCGTCGCGTCGCGTAGCGTCGCGTTGCGTCGCATCGTCGATCGAGATTCGACGTGTATATATACGCGACGACGAAACTCGAGAAGTCGCCCGGATTTCGTCGATGACTCGGCTCGTGTTACAAGAGGTGCGAAACACGTAGTCGGAGTAACGGGAGCGCAATCGAGCGTGACAGCTCAAACACTCCGAGAGGAAAGAAATCATCGCGCTGCTGGCGGTGTGATTATCTCTTTCGCGAGCGCAATAAAAAAAGGACGTGAAAGAGAGAGAGAAAGAGAGAGACACAGAACGGGAGGGAAGGGAGAGTGGCCGCGTCTAAAACGCGTCCCGCGATCAAGGAGGTGCGGGTTAAACAGGGTTAACAACGATGTAAATTACAGACGTAAATCAGATCGTCGCGTGCGCGGCGCGACCGCGCCGGTCCGCGCCGGCGCGCCACGCCGCGTCGCGCCGCGACGCGACGCGCCTCGACGCGACGCGGCGGTGCATTAAGTATGCAACGTGCTGTAAAATAGACCGAAGGCTCCGGCGGCGGTCTCGAGAAAAAAGGAACGTGACGACGAACGCGAGCGGCCATTTCGCGGGGCGAGCTCAGCGAGTGAGCGAAGAGTTCAAACCTATCGACGTCGCGATCTCTCACGCGTCCAACTATCATCCGATCCCGAGAGCAAATGGAAGCAGCGAGCGAGAGATACGGATCGACGGATACGCACCGCGAAATATATCACCGCCTCGTGTCGTCGACTACCGTTATCGGTCGCATTCCGACAGGGAGGGAGAGAGCGGGGGAGAGAGAGAGAGAGAACCCACCCCGTATAGGCGCGCACACATCCAGGCCTAATTTATTCCGGCCTGAGAATTTACATCGATTAAATCCGATAGCTATTTAATGGTTTACACAATTGCGGTTTACGCAGTTTATCCCCCCGCCGAATGCCATCATCGATATACCGACGTACAAATAAACAACTGTTATGATTATGATTATTACTATTATTATTATTATTACGTTATGTTATTGATAATCGCTACTCACCGGATGCCTGGCAGCGGCGGCGGCCACGGCGGCTGCGTTGATTCCGGCGCTGGGATACATCCTTCCTGCGTGGTTTCCCGCTCGGTGCGTGCAGTATCTGTATAACGTGTCTCGCTCCAGCGAGAGACGCGACTTCGGGGCGAACTTTTATTTTTTTTTTTCTTCAGTGGAGACGCGTCATGTCACACGCGGCACACTTTATTCCGACGAGTACCCGACACGGGGAAACAACAATAACAACAACAAACGGCACAACAGCAACAACCGATAACAGACGACGCAAACGACGTTCCGAAGGGGGCGGATAAAGGGGGGATGGGGGAAAGAGCGCCGCTTCGGAGAGGGTGGCTCGTCGTGACACGCGCGACACAAAATTACTCGATCGCTACGAAGACGATGATCGGCACTCCCGGCGATGACGTGTCGTCGCGCGACGACGTGCTACGTTCCGGTGCGACGCGAACGTGATACGCAACACCCCGTTACCCCGCCGAAAATCCATCGGCGGTCGCCGCCAATCCATCCGTCACTACCGTCTCATCCGGGACGCGCGCGCGCGCGCGCGGGGGGGAGGCCAACCGCGCTTAAAACTCCGGCGTTACACACCGTCTTCCCTGTACACTCGCGCGGGCAGTGATCGGTAGCGGCCTCTCTCCTTCTCTCTCGCGGGTCGCCGGGTCAGGTGAGGCTGGTCGTCGCGTACATTCGGAGTCACGCACAGCGCGCACGAGCCGACGGGACGAGGCGGCGCGGGCGAGGAGGCGACTCGATCTCCACGGCGGCCGTGTCCGCGCCTTTCTTTGTGCACCGCAAATGCGCCAGAGAGACGCAAGGCCGGCCTTACCTTCCCTTTTTTCCGGTCGGTAAGGCAGGAGAAACCTGCGTCGTCGTCGTCGTCGTCGTCGGCGCGTCGGAGAAACACTGGGCCCGAAAAATTTCCTCGCACTTGCCCCCTTACGCGAGCACACCGTTTCCTCCGTTATATCTATCCGGCGCACGTTTATTACGATCCTATTTACTTTTCACTCTCCCGCCTCCTGCCGCTTCCACTCCTCTCGCCACGATGGCGGGCGACGGCGAGCGTCGAGCGTCGCGCGGGCAACACTGAATGCGCGTCGCACACGCGCTGGCACACTGCACACACTCCGTTGTTTACCCCGTGCGCGAAGCGCGAACGTAAGGGCGCGCGCGCGCGCGCGCGTGTGTGCACACACGATCGTCGCGATTACGTGGTGAGCTGAATCGTCGCGTGAACGCGAAGCTCGCGAAACGATATTTAGAGAATATCCCGCTCACGGAAGTTTCTCGCGAGAAATCCCCGGCGAGCGTAAAAGCGGGCGAGCCAAAGCGACGCGAACGCACCTCTCACGACAACGGCTGCGGAGCGACTGACGGATAGACCGATGGTGGGGGGGATCTCCCCTCCAGCGTGCGCTCCCCTTTCCCCCCGCGGCGCCTGCTCCACAATCCGCGACTCTCTCCCCACTTCCTCCCAGCCTCGACGCCCTCCCCCCTCGCTACCCCGCAGCCCATCGGTCCCGCTACTTCGCGTTTAAAGCCGCCAAGCATCCCCTCGAATGTCTCTCGTCTCCTCTACGCTCGTATTAACCGGCGCGATAGCTCCTTCGCAATTAAGTCGCGTTACGTAAGGATCTCGAAAAGGCGAGCACGAAAATCACGGCTCGTTAAAACGTTGCTCTACGCGTCCCTCTTACAAACTCCATCCGTCTCTCTCTCTCTCTCTCTCCCTCCCTCCTCCTCCCCCTCTCTCTCGTACTTCCACTATTCTTACGTAGTACGGTCGATCCGTTTTATCGAGCTCCTTTCCAACGAGGAATGTTCGCCGTGATTTTCGATCCTCCACGCGCGTCTTTACGATCGCCTTTACGCGTCGCTCGTCGACGATGAATGGCAATTCCGGCGGAATGGAATTATAACGTCATTAAAGCGGCCTGGGCGTCCCGATTTCGTTCGTCTCGGCGACTTCGCACGCCGCGGCGGTACTTTGACTTTACGAACGATATTGCGAAACCGCGCGTCGCGCTCCCAATTCGTTCTTTCCGCGTGCGGTACGTACGGAAAAGGTGACTCGGCGCTCTTTTCCCTCTTACTCATCGACGCTTTATCGACGATTATCCGGCCGTCTATTTTTTTTTTTTTTTTTTTCCGTAGCCACGGTGAAGGCATTATCGTCGCGACAACAGCCGCGGCAACGACGGCCGCCGCACCACGCGCAAACAGCATTCGCGCTCGATTCGCCTTTCGTAATCCAAGCGATTCGGCGTATCAATCTCACGGGAGACGGTGAACTAATAAAAACTCGTTGCTCGCCGGCGTCGTTATCCTGACGCTAGTAGGTACTTCACATATACGAGTAGTTTGCCGTGCTCCGACTACGAGCTTGGATTTTTGCGAGTCTCGGAGCGGAGAAACGCCCGGTCCACCGGGTACCGAAAAGTTCTCGGTCGCGGACGGATACGCGACGCGGCGCGGTATAAAACGAGGATGGACAGAGAGAGAGAGAGAGAGAGAAAGAGAGAGAAGCGAGGGAGAGAGAGAGGCGCGGCATGCCAAGCATACGCGTCGGTATTAGTCGTTCCTCCGGGTTCGCTACGGCGTGTGCAAACAAATCGAAAGTTTTTCGCAAAATGGCCGTCACCGGGCTGACACGGATGTCCGCGTAAACTCCCTTTCACCCCTCCTCGCGTCCCATCCCCCCGCCGCGCTTTTCCCCGCGCCTCGTTTCCCCGCTTGTCGACCGGCTGCCTCTCTCGCCACTCGTGATTTCCCTCACTTCCCACACTACCACAAATATGGCGCCTCCACCCGTTTTCCCAACCCCTATACAACGTAGCTCCGCATAAAGCGACAGAGCGAGAGAGAGAGAGAGTGAGTGAGAGAGGGCGGGGGGAGGATACGTATACGTACGCCAAGCGCGCGCACACGTACGCGATATAACCGGAATATATATGTATGCCCGTTGTACGTGCGCGTACGTGTGTGTACACGTGGTGCGAGTGTGTGCGAGTGTGTAGCGAGTACCATCCTGTACGCGCGATTGTGTGTGCTAAGGGGGTGCCCCTATGTGAATATCGCGCGGCACACAGTCCCAAGCAGTTTCCTACTTGATTGCCGCTATCGTCCGCTCGCCTCGTAAAGGCGCTGACTCCGCGCGGACCGTGCCGTCGTGATCGCAACCTCGACCAATCGACGCCGCCCTGGCCGACACTTGGCCAATCGCGGCACCGTCTGCCGCGGCCGATCGGCACGACGGCGGCAAAGAGTCGAATGAAAACGCGACCTCGGCCAATGGCGCGGCGACTTTTTCAAATGACGCGCGTACGTGGCGTCCGCGCGGATCGTGCGCTCGCTTGTCCCTTCCGCCCCCCTTCTGCCCCTCGAGCCTCCGCAAGAGAACGTACCTATACTGAATAAAGGTGCTACGCGAAGCCGCAGCGAAACATGAAAAATAGGGGGCCACACGAGGAAAAACACGGACCCGAGGGAGGAAGGAGGATGAGGTGGAGGAGGAGATGGAGGGCGCTGTAGGATGGATCCTACGAACCGAGACACCGAAGGCTAGGTGCAGTCGGGGTTGCGTGGGATGGGTCGGGAAAGGAGGCCGGGACGACTAGAGTATAGAGGCCGAGGATGAGAATGGAAAAGTAACATAACGAAACGTCGATCCCATTACCTGGAGCTCTCTTTCTCTCTCTCTCTCTCTCTCTCGCTCTTCTTTCTCTTTAGCCCTGCCGCGCCATACGCTCCGCCGTTGCCGCACGCCTCACCTCACCTCACCGCGCCGCGCCGTGCAGCCATCCCCGCTTTCGACCCTTAATCCAAAGGAGGATTAGAAAAGCCCATTGTCATGCTCCGCGAAACGCGGGATGGGTAATACGCATACGCGTATGCGCGAAACGTCGTCCCCCCCCCCCCTCGTGCAATTCTGACACGTACCGACGTGCGCGAAAGACCGAGAGAACATGGGGGGAAGGAGAGAGAAAGAGAGAGAGAGATTTCCCTAATGAAATATAATAAATACGCGACGAAGCGCGGCGCGGCGCGCGCGCGCGCGTTCTTACATACGTACAGCACGATTATTGCACGGTTCCGTTTATCGCGAGAATCGTGCGCTTTTTTTGCGCGATTTCAACGCGCTGCGCGCCGGACGAGTCTATCCCCCTCGCTGGGCGTCCACAGCCGCGCGCTCTTTCGTCCGCCAGGCTCTTTATCTTGTTTTCACGGGGCGAGAAGGAATATAAGGTAGTGCCGCGGAGTGTTGGCGAGGCTGTCGGTCGCGCTTGGCCGGCTGCGGTTTACGCGAAGCCGCCTCGCCTCGCTACGCCTGCCTGCTTGCCTGCCTGCCTGCCAGTTTGCGTGTTCGCTCGCAACGTGGATACCTCTACGTGTCCCCGACGCGGCTCGGCTCGACTCAGCTCGGCTCGGCTCCGGTGCTCACCGAATGGTGGAGGAGAATTGGAAGGAAGCCGCGAGGAGCGGCGTATATAGCCGCGCCACAGGAGTGCGACGAGGACGAAGGAATGGCGCGAGAGGAAGGGCGCGATATACCGCGAAAAGCGCCGACGAGCGAGACACTCTACCGTACCGCACCGCACCGCACCGCGCCGGCAGGCGGCTACGAACCGGTCGCTGCGGTTGCCGCGGTTAACCGCGCCGGTGCTCTCAACCCGCGGCGACCGCGTCGGTCACGCAGCCGCGCTGTACCCGGGGGTGCTTCCTCCGCGCGTACAACTCTCTCTCGAAAACGACCCGATGGATTCGCCAAATTACACTCGCGACGAGAATCCTCTCGGCGCTTCACGTCTACGCAAAAATGTCGAGGTCGTGAAGACCGAACAATCTTTCTGGAGCTGCTATCCGGCAGATAATTCGCGCGATAATTGGAGAGCATAACCATCCACCGCGCGACCATCACTCATCATAGGAGGATGCTATTTTAATTAATCATTATCGGTCGAGAGCCTCTTCGCGACCAGCCACCCAGTTTTATTCGTCTTCCGGAAGAGAGAGAGAGAGAGAGAGAGAGGGAAGCGGAGTCA